CATGGGAAAGAGAGTAGCCAGTCAAGAGAGCAGTATAGCAACGATGAAACATACAAATTTCCTCTAGTTCTTAAATGCTTTCCACCCCCAGCCACTATCATGATCCCAACCCTACCTTACGAATACGGGTAGACCAGAGGATGTACACTGATACAGATAGGAAGGGGCAACACAAGGAATCCTGGATGGATGATCCCTTCAGGACTAGTGGTGAGTGGTGATACCGGGAGGGTGGAGGGAAGGTGGGGTGGAAAGGGGAAACAATTACAAGGATCTGTATGTAGCCTCCTCCGTGGGGAATGGACAACAAAAATGTGGGTGAAGGGAGATGTCCAACAGTGCAAGATATGACAAAAAAATAATATATAAATTATCAAGGGTTCACAAGGGAGGGGGGAGCAGGAACGGAGATGAAAAAATGAAAAGCTGATAAAAAGGGCTCAAGTAGAAAACAAATATTTTGAGGAGGGCAACAAATGTACAAATGCGCTTGACAAAATGATGTATGGATTGTGATGAGTTGTACGAGCCCCCAATAAAATGATTTTAAAAAAAACAAAAACGTGTTTTTGAGATTCATGATGAACTAAGGACATTTTTTAATCAGAAAGCAAGACCGTACTTTGAAGCACTTTTCAGCGATAAGTGAACTACAGAAAATAGCATACTTGGTTGACATCTTCGCCATCTTGAATGAGTTAAATTGATCAATGCAAGGACCGAAGGCAAGATAGCTCGATTTGGTCGAAAAGATCCAATCATTCCAAATGAGACTTCAGCTTTGGCACAAAAAAAAAGCTGGATGAAAATTAAATTTACATGTTGCCTACCTTATCTGGTTTCTTCGAGGTACATGATATTGAACCAGACAAAAGGATTATGATAATTTCTGTGAGAGAACACTTGCACATGCTTGCAGATGAAATTTCATCGGTTCTTTCCAAATCTCCGACACACCATTTTCACTTTCTAGAAGCCAATTCACCAAGTTGAAGACGTTCCTGAGACAGCACAAGAGGACTTCATTGAACTTATTAACAGCGATGTAGCGAGAACTGATTTCTCTACAATGCCAGTTACAACATTCTGGACTAAATGTTTGCAGTCACCTGATGTTCTGTCTGAGACTGTGTTGCACATTCTTCTTCGACTTCCAATAACATATCTTTGTGAAACAGGGTTTCCAGCTCGCTGGTTATCAAGTCTAAATACAGAAGTAGACTTCTTGTGGAAGATGATCTTTGTGGTGCTCTTGCAAAGATTGCCCTGAGATTTTCTCATCTGGTGAGAAAGAAGCTATCTCAACCTTCGCACTGGCATTGGCTTTTTATGAATACTGTTGCAAAGTACAGCAATGTAGTTTACCGGTGTTATATTAAGACTGCTACCCATACTACATCATTCGTCAAGACAAAATTTCATTTAGTAATAATTAGAAATAAATATTTCACAATAATTACATTATTGTTTTGATGATGAAAACAATAGCGATGCTCTCATTATGTGCAATTCGCAACAATGAAAACACATCCTACATTTCAGATATTTACATTATGATTCATAACAGTAGCTAAATGACAGCTATGAAGTAGCAACGAAAATAATTTTACGGTAGGGGGTCACCACAAGACGAGGAACTGTATGAAAGGCTCGTGGCATTAGGAAGGTTGAGAACCACTGATTTAAATAAATTGCAAAACACATTGCTGTAAAGGGCCAGAAAAATTTTGCCAAGAAATTTCACTTATTTTCCTTATCTTTTCTCATCACAAGGCACTTATTCATTCCTTATGACAATGAAACAAGGGCCTTCCTGTAAGAATTTCATGGGTAGAAGTTGCCCAATCTACCCAACTGCCCCACTCTTCCAAAGCCTAACTCCCCCATGTGTCTATGAGCAGCCACCACCAGGACAGCCCTGTCCACAGCATGCAGCTGGGCCCCTCTCCAGGCACTGCATGTCCCGGAGGCACAGCAATTGGGATGCAACCTCTATTGGTAAAATGTTTAATGACATCAGTGCACATGTACAAACCTTGAGTGTGTTCTCATAACATACCTGACCCCAAGAAGACAATCAAGTGGAGAGTTGACCTTGGAGGAGTTAGAGGGAGACACTTTCACTTTCTGGTTTACACATTTGTAGACCATTCAATGAGTGTTCCCAACAACATATGTATTTTGCCACTGTTTTAAAATGTTTTCTTTTCAATGCAAGAGATTAGATTTTGAAAGGAAGAAAAAAGTTTTTTAATTAAAAAAAAAGAAAGGAAGAATAATGAATGCTAATAAATGATTCACCATTACTGGCCAGGATAGGGCCAGATGAGGACATGTGGACAGCAAGCAGGGATCACTGTAGCGTGGGAGGTGTGAAAACTTTAGGTGGAACCAATGCAGATGACGAGATCAAGTGAGTATGGGAGACCTTGATTTTCATTCCCCCTTCTTATGTCCCCTTACCTTCCTGGTCTGCTGGTCCCGAAACACAAAATAAATTTGAACTTAAGTCTTTTCATAAATTATCAATTTATGAAAGCAATAGAGATTGTTATAGGACTGGACTGAAAGACATAATCATGGCTTGTCAACAAAATGCTCAACATATTAATAATACTTTTAATATTTATCAATGGATGTACAAAATGCAGACAAAAATGAGGTGAAAAACATAGGAACAAAGTTTCTAACACATGAATCCATAGCAAAACCACAACCCACACCCAAATAAAATTTTCTTGAATTTACTGCATGTAAATTAACACGGATTACAATCTAAACCCACACTTGCATAGCAGTCTTCACAATAGCCTTATTGAAAATACTCAGACTGCAATAAGGTAAAATACACCATGGTCTAAGAAAGCAACCATCTTCACAGCTGTTCATGGAAACTGGAGAAAAGAAGTCTCATAAAACAGGTGCACTGTGACCTTGTGCTCTTACTTCTCCCGAAGGACCAAAGTAACTAATCACATCTTGTTTCTATTTGTTTTCTTTAATATTGAAAGGCTCACATTCTTTATATGCTCAAGTCCTGTCTCCACTGTGAATTCTTGAATGCTTAGTGGTTTAACTTAGTTTAATTTAATGTTTAGTAAAGTTGAGGACCAAGGAAAGGCCTTGCTACATTACTTTACTAAGATTACATTAGTAAGATCCAAAGAAAAGGTTTTTGACACATTCCTTTACATATGGTCCCTACATTCATTCATAGGGCCTCTACTCTGACTTCTTCCTACATTTACAATAACCTGTGCTGACTAAGGCTTTCCCAAAATCCTACAAACACCTTCTCAACTGTGAGTTCTTCAGTCTTTAGTGAGGAAAGATTGACTAAATGCTATCCCACATAGATTACATTCATAAGACCTCCACCGACTGCGAGAAATCCTATGTGAATGGAGAGCAGAGGAATAAGCAAAGACTTTGCCATATTCCTTACATGCATCAGGATTCTTTCCATTGTGGATGATCATATGTTGAATGAGGGATGAAGAGGAATCAAAGTCTTTGCTACATTTACATTCATAAGGCCTCTTTCCTGTGAGTTCTATGCTGAATGTGGGGTGAGGAAGGAATAATGGCTTTGCAACCCTACATATATTCATAAGGGTTCTCTCCACTGTGAATTCTCCTATGCTCAGTGAGGGTGGAGTGACGAGTAAAGGCTTTTCCACAGTCTTTACATTCATAAGGCCTCTCTCCACTGTGAGTTCTCCTATGTGCAATAAGGTGACAGTGTTGAGTAAAGGCTTTACCACACTCCTTACATTGATAAGGCTTCTCTCCACTATGAATTCTGCTATGTGTAATGATGTATGTTTGGTGAGAAAATGCTTTCCCACATTCCTTACATTCATAGGGCCTCTCTCCACTGTGAGTTCTCTTATGTTGAATGAGGGAACGTTGATTAATAAAGGCTTTGCCACAATCCTCACATTCATAAGGCTTCTCTCCACTGTGAATTCTCCTATGAGCATTGAGTTTTGAGGAATCAGTGAAGGCTTTGCCACACTCCTCACATTCGTAGGGCCTCTCTCCACTGTGAATTCTCCTATGTTTAATGAGGGTAGAGAGACGAATAAAGGATTTCCCACATTCCTTACATTCATAAGGTCTCTCTCCACTATGATTTCTCATGTGTACAGTAAGGTATGAAAGGCACTTAAAACTTTTCCCACATTCCTTACATTCATAAGGCCTCTCACCACTGTGAGTTCTCTTATGTACAATAAGGTGAGTGTGTTGAGTAAAGGCTTTACCACACTCCTCACATTCATAAGGCTTCTCTCCACTATGAATTCTCCCATGTGAAATAAGTTGAGAGTGTTGAGTAAAGGTTTTCCCACACTCCTTACATTCATAAGGCTTCTCTCCACTATGAATTCTGCTATGTGTAATGATGGATGTTTGGTAAGCAAATGCTTTCCCACATACCTTACATTCATACGGCTTCTCTCCACTGTGAATTCTCCTATGTGTACTGAGTTTTGAGGAATCAGTGAAGGCTTTGTCACACTCCTCACACTCATAGGGCCTCTCTCCACTGTGAATTCTCTTATGTCTAGTGAGGGATGTGGGGAACTGAAAACCTTTGCCACATTCCTCACATTCATAAAGACTCCCTGCACTGTGAATTCTCCTATGTTTAGTGAGGGATGAGGGGTACTTAAAACATTTGCCACACACCTTACATTCACAAGGCTTTTCTCCACTGTGAACTACCTGATGTTTATCTAAGTATGAGCGACAAGTAAAGGCTTTGCCACATTCTTTACACTCAAATGGGCCCTCTCCACTGTGAGTTCTCCTATGGTGAATGAGGGATGATTGATGAATAAAGGCTTTGCTACACTGCTTGCACTCATAAAGCCTCTCTCCACTGTGAGTTCTGCTATGTCGATTAAGGTAACAAAGGTGTGTAAAACCTTTGCCACAATCCTTACACTCATAAGGTTTCTGTCCACTGTGAATTCTCTGATGAGCAACAAGATGTGAGGGATTGGTAAAGGATTTGCCACATACCTTACAATCATACTTCTCTAAAATGTGAATTCTCCTATGTTTTATGAGGGATGCGTAGTCTTTAAAACGTTTGCCACATTCCTTACATTCATAGGGACTCACTCCACTATGAGTTGTCATATGCCAACTCAAGGATGAAAAAAGATGAACAACTTTGCCATGTTCCTTACTAACAAAAGGCTTCTCCTCACTGTGACCACTTAAATGTATAAGGACCTCTGAGGATTCACCAAAGGTGTTTCCATAGTCCTTATATTCCTTAGGTTTCTCTTCAGTTAGCGTTCTCACAGGACCGTGGGAGTAAGGACACCTGCAGCCTGCTGCATGTTCTCCATCCTGATAGGTGTCAAATACAGAGTGAAAACTACGATGATGCTTAAGTGATGATGATAATCGGTCCATGGAGGATTTCCCATAGTGAAGGGACACTGGAGGATATGGTTCATTGTAAGTTCTTTTGAGCATGTGAAGATCTGGAATCCAGCTGTAGGTCTGTCCACGCTGAGTTTTCTTCTTAATTTCACAAACATTCTGTTCAATAGATCTTCTGCTAAAAAGAGTCACAAGCAGGTAGATACATATTGATTCTAATTTCATGACAATCATCCCAATACACTTTATTTTTTACTATGAATTGCTTCAACTTTCAAAGATCAAATGATCTCACAGTGATGTTCTGATTCATTTTATTCTATTTCTATCATATGGGGCATTGTAATTGTATATAACTAAACTATATTTTAAATATTCAATGTCTGATACACATTTTATTCAAGTATTCTAGGGTGAAATTTCATTGAACACACAGTATTAGAAGCTTTATAGCTTTGTGCTTATATATGTGTATATACAGTAGCACATATATATGTACACTGAAGTCTGTTGAGTCCATGTTCACTCACAGTGACCCTGTACAATGGCCCATGTGTATTTCAAAGCCTGTAACTCTTTACAGGAGTATTAAGTCCCACTAAGCTGGTAAGGGGTAGCTGCTGCTTTTGACAGGCAGACCTTGAGGTCAGCAGCCATACTCGGAACCACTAGGCCACCAGAGCTCAATATTTACTAAGAAGAACGGCAGGAAGTATTGATGTTCACAAAAATCTCAATGGTTGGTGGCTTCAACGGAGTGGCACTCCCATCAGTCAAAATACTCAACAGCACAGGGGTTTACAGACCTCACTATAAATATTACTATCCATATGTGTATGTGGGTATACCCACACGGGCATGTACATGTACTTATATACATATATACAAATGAACTTGAAAATATCATGAATGATGTATCTTTTCATTTCCCCGCTACGAAGACCTCCAGGACATAGATATTTTAATGAAATCATTGGGCCTTAAGTTTCCCTTCGGAAGCACTCTTGAGTGAATGATACTCACCTTGCATGACTGTTCCACTTGTTATCCTGATCTTCAATGATGTGAAATCCACATATTTCTCCTACTTTGGAGGACCAGGAGCCACTTTTCAGGAAGTGTACTATTGTATTTTCAGTGCACAGCTGTTCTCCATCATCAATGTTTTGGGAAACTGACCGAATGATGCAAGTTGTGGTTCACAAAATAAAAGCAAAAAGGCCAGGCATTACTCAAAAAAGGAAAAAATAAATAAAAAAACAAAAAAACAAACTAAACGGAGCTTATCCCAAGGGTCAAGTATAAAATATTTTGGAAATGACGATGGCAACATATGTAGACAGAAGCTTGATAAAACTGATGTATAGAATGTTGTAAGAGCCCATTAAAAAATGATTTTCAAAAAGGAAAAAAACAAAACCATTTTGATGTTTTAATATTGTGGCAGTGAACAAAATGAAATTGACTAGGGAATAGTCGCATGGAGGCTGAGATTGTCTGACACATACAGAGGGGCTAATAACGAGATAAAAAGAAAAGTACTCGGCACATTCCTCAAGACTTCTCCACATGAAATACACAGAAAAAATAACTACAGATGTGGGACGAAAGGATGGAGAAGCTCTGTTAAGGGGCTGACTGAGGATCAGATCATCAATTTCTCTTATGTAAATTCAACATAAAGCTGAAGAAAGCGAAAATATTCCAATTTGAAACACAGTTCAAAAAAGGGCGACCCAACAGAATGCTCAAACTACGGAACAATGTCACTGATATCACAATCAGGAGACATCATGGTTGATATCAGATGGCTCTACACTCAGAGCAGAGAATATCAGAAACATGTTCACTTGTGTTTCATTGACTAGGCAAAGGCACTTGGCTGTGGAGATCATAATAAACTGGAGATAATCACATTAAGAATGCACATTCAGGAGCACTTCCTTGTGCTCTTGTGGAAGTCATACAGGGATCAAGAAGCAGCTGTAAAAACAGAACAAGGGAATACCGCATGGCTTCAAGTCAGGAAAGGTCTGTATCACAGATACATTCTCAACATATTTCATCCATAACGTTATGTTGACCAAATCATCACAGAAGTTGGATCCTGTGAAGAAGACTGTGTGTTGGAGGAAGGTTTACTAACAACCTACCCTATGCCAGTGACACAACATAGCTTGCTGAAAGTGACAAGGATCTAAAAGTCTTGCTGATGAGACAAAAGATTGCAACTCCTTGTATGGATTACTTCTCAATGTAAACAAGAACACCTTCCCAACTGGATGGGAGAAAAGGTGGAAGTTACCAAGGACTTTATCTTGCCTGAATCCACAATCAATATTCATGGAAGCAGCAGTCAAGAGATCAAAAGAAGTGTCCTCTTTGGTTAATCTGGTGCACAAGACCTCTTTGGTCCATTGAAAGGCAGGATGCTATTTAGAGGACGAAGGTGCACCGACAGAGGGCTCAGTTTTTTCAATTTTGCATGTCAAAGTTGGAAGTTGTGTACAGAAAGAATTGATGCTTTGTAATCATGATTCTCGAGAGGAATGTGGAAAGTACCATGGACTGTCTGCTTACAGGACAAACAGGTGTCATAGAAGAAATACACACACAAAGGGCTCCTTAGAAGCAAGGGTGGTAAACCTTTGAAGATACAATAAGAAAGTACAGTTTGGACAACAGAAAAGTGGGTGAAGGGAGACATCGGCACTGTTAGATATGATAAAACAATAATTTATAAATTATCAAGGGTTCTTGAGGGAGAAGGGAGTGGGTAGGGAGGGTGAAAAAATGAGGAGCTGATAATATGGGCTCAAGTAGAAAGCAAATGTTTTGAGTATGATGATGGCAATAAAATGATTCTTTAAAAAGGAATAGCTGACAGAAAGCTTAGATTGCAGCACCAAAACTTAAAAAAAAAAAAAAAAAGATGAAAAGAAAGTAGAGTTCCTGGAGAAGCTCATTGTGCTTTGTACATTAGAGACCTGGAAGAAAAGCAAGTCCCTCAATGAGATGGACAGCATCCCTGTAGCTGCGTGACTTTATGTCAATTTGATTGCACCTGTGTCAATGTCGGGGAGGAGTCAAACCCTTCTTTGTTTCATCATTTATTTTTTTCATTAATCGTTTTATTAGGGGATCATACGACTCTCAATCCACACATACATCAAATGTGTAAAGCACATTTATACATTCATTGCCCTTGTCATTCTCAAAACATTTGCTTTCCACCTAAGCCCTAAGCCTCCCCCCCCCACCCCCCGCAAATCAGGTCCTCACTTTCCCCCCTTCCTCCCCCCTCCCCTATGAACCCTTGATAATTTATAAATTAATATTTTGTCATATCTTACACTGTACCATGTTTCCCTTCACCTACTTTTCTGTTGTCTGTGCCCCAGGGAGGAGGTTATATGTAGATCCTTGCAATCGTTTCCCCCTTTCCACCTCACCCTACCCGTATAGCCACTCTCACCACTGGTCCTGAAGGGATCATCTTTCTGTATTCTCAGTATTTCCAGTTCCTGTCTGTGACAGTGTACATCCTCTGGTCCATTAAGATTTGTAAGGTAGAACTGGGATAATTATTGGGGGTGGGGGGGAGGGAAGCATTTAGGAACTAGAGGAAAGATGTTCCATTGTTGCTACATTGCACCCTGACTGGCTGTTCTCCTCTAGGGGATCCTTCTGCAAGGGGATGTCCAATTGCCTACAGATTAATCTTGGGTCCCCAATCTACACTCCCCTTCATTCACAAAGATTGGATTTATTGTTCTTTGATGCCTGATACCTGATCTCTTCAACACCTCGTGGTTACAGGCTGGTGTGCTTCTTCCATGTGGGATTTGTTGCTTCTCAGCTAGATGGCTGCTTGTTTATCTTCAAGCCTTTAAGATGCCATACTATTTACAGCTGGGCACCATCAGCTTTCTTCACATTTGCTTATAGATCCACTTTGTCTTCATCGATTATGTTGGGAAGGTGAGCATGATGGAATGCCACTTTAATAGAACCAAGTGTTCTTGCATTGAGGAAGTCAAACCTTTCAATCCAATGTAGCTGGGCTATGCCTCAAGGGGGGGTGAGGGGGGGAGGCGTGGCTTTTTGCATAACTAAAAGATGAATAGAGGTAATTTCTCTTCTGCCCTGTCTTCCCATTTGGTGATACTGTGCCTCCATTCATGGGTTACCCAGAACTCCGTAAGCAAACTGCCGTGCTTCCACTGATTTTTGGATCCATGCAAGTCTGAATTTAAGCCTATTATCAAGCCTAGGATTCACCATTCTGCATGATCAGCTTGCTGTACGTAAGTAAGTATAGAAGCAACCTTCTAGCATCGGACCTATGGAATTCAGTTTGACTGGGCTGGGATACCTTCTTGATACAAGATTACTTCTGGATATAAAGCTCTTTCGCATACATGAGTGACAACAGTTGTTTCTCTGAAAATGACACATCATACAGAAACGCTGAAACAGCAGCAACACTGCCCTGACACTGAGACAATACTTTGTGCCTCACAGGTTGGCGTTTTGACAAGGGTAAATTCACTGACAGGAAAATCAACGTAACGTTAAACTTTTAATAAACACAGCCTATACAAGGACTAGAACACATGCATCCGGTGTGCACCAAGGAAGGTCATAGTGCGTATTTACTGCACTTAAACTTCAGGCTTTTAGTCACAAAGGCAATAAAAATTTACTTGAATACTGAGAGCTTTCTATTCATGGGGAAGCCATGACATGCATGCTGTTGAGTGAAAATGGCTGTGTTTGCCTGATATAACAAGGTTTTCCCATTGTCAGGACCACCTAATGGAGTAATACCAACATATATGACTGATTTAATCACTCTACATGTAAAGAGAAATGGATCCATACCTACTGAGGCCAGGTTTCTGAAAGTTTCCATCATCACATGCCTATAGAGTTTCCTCTGAGAACAATCCAGCAAGGCCCACTCTTCTGGGGAAAAGTCCACAGCCACATCTTCAACAGCCACGGGGTCCTAAAACAGCACGCATATTCTAGTTCAACAAGGTACCGTGAACTCCAATAGGTGAAAAGAGGAGGAGGATGACAGTCCTGTGCACTGAGAGTTCAACGACATTAGACACGATGTTGTCATAAGGAAGACCATCAAGGGTGAGCTATCCCTCTCGTTCCATTACTATCTAGACTTACTTCCTCTCTCATTACATGCGATGCCACAGATCGAACATTTCATCTGGCAAAATGAACTGATCTCCCCTCAGGTTATCTAACCAACTCAATATATTACTCTCCATTTCTATGGTCTAGATTAGCCAGTAGAAATAATTCAAAGCATGAAAAAGTGCTTAAAGCAAAAGCCCTATTTTCACATACATCACTTATCTTCCAATAAAAGGAGGGGGAAATTCAGTTCCTTGCAAAGGACCAAGCTGAATGCTGATCAAAGCAAGAGCACTGGGTGAAAGGAAAATAGCCATCAGGGAGCACTGAAGACTCTGCACTTTCTCCTTCAGCCCCTCATTAGCACAGGAGGCCTGGTCGCTTGAGGTGAGAAAGGTCAACCCAAAGCTTTGGGCTCATGATCCTCTTTGAAGAACCCCAGCTGATGAAGAGCTGACATGTTATCTGCTGATAAGAGATGCTGACTTTGAGGAATGCTGGTCTTTTCTACAGAGTTTCTATGTCAGACATAGATGTATCAGAAACTACCGTTCTGCACCTTCATGGACACAGGCACAGGAACTGAAAAGCGAGAAAGGACAGGGGTGGAAGACACTTAACAAGAGAAAACAGACATCAGACTGCTTCCACACTGAGACACAGAGCCACTGGAATGCAGTTTTCACCAAATGCCCGTCAAGAAACGTAAATGGACACGGACAAACGCACTAATGTTATGCTGGTAAAGAGCACAAGATGTACAGCATCATAATATAATGGCCTTTTGTATGCAGATTGCGACAAAAAATAGTTGTTTCGCAAAATTTCACGGAAATGAAATGGATTTGGCTGATACAAACTCTGAAAGAATCCTAGTAAACACAGGCCTGCACACCAGCCCTTGAGATGTTCCACTCCACAATTATCTCCCGTGTGCAAACCTTGGAAAGCACATCAGCTTCACTATCTGACCACGAGGACCACTGGCATCCCCTGCTTGGTGGGACTGGAACCTGTGACCTCAGACACTTCTGCTCCCACATTTTGTCAGGTGAGAACAGTCCCTGTATCTAGATGGTCATCAACTTGGGAAC